CGGAGCCGCCGCTGCCCGCGCTGCCGGCGCGCTGTGTTGCATGGGCGCCGCCTGCGGTTGCGACAGGGCCATGCCGGCCATGCGCTGCACAAAGTCGTGCTGGTGCTGCATGGCGTAGCCTGCAGGGCGGGGGGTGCTGGGGGCCAGGGGAGGGGGCTGTTGGGGGCCGGCTGAAGCGGGGCAGGAGGCGCCGGCACAAGGCGGGGTGCAGGGTGAGGTGAGCGCTCCGCGAGGCGGGGAGGTGGGTGGGCACGTGGCACGCGGGGTGGGAGCCGACACCGCGGCAGCAGCAGCTGAGCATGCACGCCAGCGGCACCCACCCGCGTGCGCCATGCCATACTCGCCGCTGTGGTGCACTATGGGCGGCGGCGGCGGCAGGTACATCATGCCTGGAGGGCTCCCCGCCATGCCTGCACAGCGCCAGGCATGCACAGCAGTGTTCAGGGGTGACCAGGATGAGTCTGTGGCGTGTGCAGGTGGCGAGATGCCGGAATATGCCGCGGCCTGGGCCCACGGCAGCATCATGGCCGGTATGGTGCACACGTATGCGGGGGGTGCATGCCGGTGCTGCCATGCTGCTGTTCACAGCCGTGCACACCTGGCGGGCTGCTGCCATAGGGCGGGCTGCCGCCATAGGGTGGGCTGCTGCCATAGGGTGGCGGGCTGCCACCGTACATGTGGCGGCTGGTGGGGCTGCCAGGGTCGGCCATGGCGTGCAGAGGCACGCTGATGAAGCCGGTGGGAAGCGGCGGGGAGCCTCCGTTGGGGAACACTGCAGGGGCAGGGCGGGGGCGGGGGAAGCCGCAGTCGGCAGGGCAGGCACGGCAGGCGGTGGGCGGCGAGGCCGGCATGGTGCCGCGGCAGCGCACCGGCGGGCGGCGAGGCGGATCGCTCCATGGGTCCATCGGCGAGGTGTGGAGGTGGATAGACGTGGTACACAGGGTAGGGCGCACCCCAGCCGTAGGTGGGCACCATGCCTGCGGCAGCGGCGCAGGAGGCAGCAGAGGTGACTGAGCCGAGCGGCCCCCTGCGCAGCAGCGCGCGCCTCCGTGGCAAGGCATCTCAAACCCCAGCCTCCCCACCAACGCGCACCTGGGTGGGCCATCACAGGCAGGGGCGGCGAGGCGCTTCCGGAGCGGTGCAGGCTGCCGCTGCTGCTGCTGCGCTGGCGAGACAGGCCCGCGCGGGGGGCGGGCGCCGGGATGACGTCCCGCCCGTTGGCCTCCCCGCCGCCACCGTGCTCAGGCTCCTCCTGCCGCGGCAGCTCCATCGCGGGGATGCCCTGATGGACAAGCGGGGACGGGTGGCGGGAGAATGGGCCCCAAAGCAGGAAGGAACTCGCCAGCAACATTGTTCGGGTGATCGGCCGCTGACCGCGGGCTGGCAGCGCAGCAGCAGCAAAGGCAATTCGCATGTGGCAATGCTTTAGGGCTGGTGGAGACCCTGCAAGTCCCTGCGCGCACCTCTGGCAGCGGCTGGGAGCACTGCGCCTCGCTGTCCGGGCTACTGCACCGCTGGACGGGAGAGTCCCCTGCCTCCGACTCGCCGCTCTCTGACCTGCTCACGAAACTGATCGCAGCCGGGTTCAGCGGGCTAGGGGCTCCCACTGCTGCCGCCATAGCCATGCGCGGGCAGGCGGGGGGAGGGTGGGCGTCTCTGTGGGGCCGACGGTCTGCAATCAAACATGGGCGCGGCTCAAGCGTTTGTTTGCTTTCAGGCTCTTCGCTCTAGGAGAATATGCTGGCACCGCTCAGCGTGACATGACTCGCGCTCTCCCGGTCCTCCTCGCCATCATGGCGCCTCGAAGGAAATGCGCAATCCTCGTATCATCGAGGCCACCCGTGCAGTGCCCTCTTTTTGTCTGTCACCACCTGTCCATGCCATGCATGCCGCTGCCGCCGCCTGGCTTCACACACCAGTCACGACGGCCGCCTGCTGGTCGCCTGGCTACCACCTGCCGCCCGTAGCTTCTGCTGGCAAGATCAACACAAGATTTGCAGGCGAGATGCTGCAAGACAAGGAGGGTTGGCTCAGTCCAGCTTGGCGAATACCCGAACATAGTCCACAGCCATCGTGGCTGGGAAGGTGGTGGTGGCATCGGGGGGCCCGGGCCACTCGCCGCCCACAGCCAGGTTGAGGATCATGGCAAAGGGCTGGTCAAATGGGGCGGGCCACTCCGCGTCACTGCTGGTCCACCAGCCAGCAAACTCCTCGCGCTGCTTGCCGTCGATCCCCACTGCGGGCAGCAGGGCGCAGCAGCGGGGCACCCAGCGATGAGCACAAGTTCCCTAGCAGGGACGCTGCAGCCATGCAGGTGCGTCAGCAGGCCGCCTGCCGAGTCAAAATATTCCACGGCTGGCTACAGGACAGGGCTCCACGCCCCTGCCGCTTACTCCTGATAAAGTCTTCCTCCCAGTCGCAGGCAAACACATGGAAGCCGTCGGAGAAGGCCTCCCCGCCATCCAGCTTGCTGTCCACTGTGCTCTTCTCGTTGTCGGGCCCTGCGCCAGCACGGCGTGCACAGCATTGGCATGCGTTGAGCACAGCACACGCAGCATGGGACCAGCGGGCCATACGTTTGCTGCACACCCGCCCAGCCCGGCGCGCGCTCCTCACATGCGCCGCCATAGTGCAGCCCCTGCACCACCGTCTTCTGGTCGTTGATGGAACCCAGGATGTCGATCTGCAGGGGAGTGTGGATGCACTTGAGAACAGGGCTGCGTCTACCAGCACTCCCCAGGACACAAGCTGGTTCCGCCTTGCGGTGACGAGCACATCCCCATGGGGATCCATGCCGCTCGTTGCCGGCTGCCCCACACATGGCTCGTCGACAGCTGGCCGTCCGTGCGGGCCATGGGCGCAGCGTGCTGGCCCTGCCGCTCACCTCCCCGCTCGCCGGCCATGCGCCATACTTGGTGGCGTTGACCGGCTGCAAGGGGCTTGCAATGCCATGGGTCAAAGGTATGCCTGGAAAGGAAGGCAGCCTCCGCAGCAGCTCCACCACTAAGGCTCCCTGCCACCTCCAAAACGTTTGTTGCACAAACAACACAGGCAACGAATCGCCCTGCCCAGCCCTCACCTGCATCCAGAATGCCGACCACAGGCCGGGCCCGCCCTTGGGCACCTGAATCCTGGTTTCAATGCGCAACCGCTTCACCGTCTTGCCGTCGGGCAGCTGCATGGTTGGGGGGAGCAGCAGCGGCAGAAGCTTGCCGGAGAGCAGATTCCTGGCTCAGATGCCATGAGCAGTCTGAAGGTTCCTGCTGTTGAGGGCCTGCGGCGGGCGGCCAGAGCCCATCCTTGCTGCTGCCGCACCTTCACCCCTGGGAAGCCAGAGCCCACCGACTTGATGCGGCCAGAAGTGTACGCCTGCCCATTCTACAGGGTGGCGGCACGTGGAAATGCCAGGGTTGTGCAGGCGGCAGACAGCGGGATCCGTGATGGCAGGCCACCTCACCTGGAGCGCCGTGATGTATAGGCTGCCGTTGGCCACCCGGACATTGTCCGCCATGTAGGTCTGCATGCAACAGGCAGCCCCATACGACTAGAGTGGGTCGAGTGCACAAGGGGCGAGCGCCTGCGGCCAGCAGCGGCACGGCGGCGCGCGTGCGCCCACCTGGAGACCTTCATTGCCCTGCTGGCCCTGGTCTGCCGCAGTGCTGGTGAACATCTGCCATTTGCTGGTGTTGAGGCTGGTGCCATCGAACTCGTCCCCCCACAGCAGGCGATCAAAGTCTTTCGGCACAGCCACCGGGGGCGAGGGCGGCTCGGCGGCAGGCGGCGACGCCTGGGTTGGGGCGGCGGTTGGAGCCGCTGCCAGGGGCGCCAGCGTAGCAGGTGTGCCCGCGGAAGCAGGCAGCGTGGTGGGCACCGCGGAGGGGGGTGCCAAGGGCTTGGTAGCCGGTGCAGTGGAGGTGGCTGGGCTGCTGGGGCTGGGGCCGCCGCCGCTGCTGCTGCTGCTGCTGCTGTTGCTGCTACTGCCAATGACCTGAGTCACGACCACCGCAATGGCAGCCCCGGAGCAGGCCACCAGCACCACGGCTGCAATCCACACCGCCACCTTGCTTGCCCACCACGGCTGCGCCTGACAGGCTGCGGTGGCCCTGGCCGCCGCCGCCGCTTCGACGTCCGTCCACGCCTTGCGCGAGACGGGGTTGGACACTGAGACGTGGGCCGATGGAGGCCTGGGTGGCATGGGAGGTCGCCCGTGGGCGTGCATGGTTGCTCGAGCACCAGTTGCAACTGTCACGGGCTGTCTGGCCCTCGCTGGCTGGCCCCACGAGGTGGACAATGATTCTGATCAGAGGCTACAGGCTGGTTCGGACCCCAACTCGAGCCGAGAACAACCTACAGGATTAACAGAGAACTTGCCAGGCTGGCGGCGGCGGTGCTCCGGCGGGGCTGAAACGAATTGCATTTGCGGGATGCCCCCAGCTGTACGCGTCGAGTGATCACGCTGCGACTACACATGAGTTCCCCTGCAGCACGAGTGTATCGGCTGCCGCCGCCATCGGGCTGCTGCAGCTGCCGACAGGCAAGGATGCAGCATCACATTAAATGTGGTGGTAGAAGTGCAATGGATGTTCGCCAGGGCCACAGCACTCAAAATTCTCGAGGGAACCACATGAAAATGGTCCGCTGGTCAAAGGTGCAGCGGGCGGGTGCACACACGGCATAGGAGCAAAACTGCGAGGCCGAGAGTGCAGGTGACGGCGGGGCATAGCTCTCAGAGGAGGCTCAACAGCAGCGGTGCATCGGACATGGTACTGGCCGCGCAGTGCAGGCACTGATGCGGCCCGCGCCGCTTCACTTGTCCTTCTTCTCCTCCCCCTCCGACTCCGCCTCAATCTCCTCTGCGGGTTTGCTCTTGGCCTTGCCCGCTGTACGCGCCTTGGCCGCCGCCGCCGCGCTGCCGTTGCTGCCGCCCGCCGCCTGCTGCCCATCCTGCGCGCCATCCTCCTCCTCCTTCTCCTCCTCCTCCTCCTCCTCCCCGTCGGCCTTGTCCTCCGA